TATATATATATATATATATATATATATATATATATATATATTCTTCAAATGTGAGAAGATACAGTTTCAAACTGTACAAGTTCTTATTTTGAAACTTTTTATAGCATCAATATTTGTTCAAATTATAGGATGATCTGAATACAGGGGCTGACAGAATGAGATACTATATAATAATATAAGAGCACCTGTTTTCTGCATAGAACATATTTATCACAGTAATTAAGTTCAAAGCAAGAGATTCAAACATACAACATTTAGTGATCTGTGTTGGTCCAAGATAGGTGAATTCAGATTCAAGTTATGTATATACTATCTATTACTTATGGAGGCAAATAAGGCTACACAGAAAAATTTTGCATGCATTTCCCTTGAAAAATTGCTCCCTGAAACATTATGTGTCTATTAATTAGTATATAAACCACCTAGGAGAGCCAAAAAGAAACAACTTGAATCAAAATTCAAAATTTTCTTGTGGTATATGTCTGTACTCTATTCCCATGTGGTGTTCATATCTAGTATGTGTTTACCCTGTAAGTTTTCAAATTAACATTATAGTGGAGCTGTGTTATTATATATAATAAGAGGTGGAGGAGAGAATGCTTGATCTCTTTTAAGTGACTACACTGACTTGTAAATAGTATTTAGATGGGGTAATAAAACCTGAAATCTATCAGAGATTGATGAGCAAATCTCATGAGGAAATAAAACAAGGGCTTGCACTTATAAATCACTAAAATTTACGTTATAAATCACTCACTTTAGTGATCCAACTAAGCAGGGTCTTTGTCACAACCACACATGTACACAAACTTGTAGTCTGGTGTGTAGTTGACTCTGTGGATACTCCTATGAGCTTGTCAAGTCTTGTTCCCAGAGTAGTACCTGGTTCAGATTTCTCATGGCTGCATAAATCTATCTTATCTCATCTCCAAACACTCTAATTCAGGGGACCCAGACACATGACCTTTGAAGCCTCATAGATGATTGTGACAAACAAGCAGGAATGAGCACAACTGCCCTAAACACACACCCGAGCATCTTTCTTGCTAAGCTTAAAAACATTATTGATAAAAAGGCATGTGCTCATCATTTACTGTTTCTTTTATCACAGAAGATAGGTCATTTGATATTAGTTATTTCTTAATTTACAGGTACCTTCCCCTTAGGCTCTGAGGTAAGGTGGAACAATCAAAGATTACATCATCATCGTCATCATCATCATCATAATAATAATAGTAATAATTAATAATAATGTAAGCACCCAAGATACAAGTGTCTTAATCCTGAAAACCTGATTTAACTATGGAATTTTCTGATAAATTTAAAGCAGGGTTCAAAGTACTTATTTGTCTTCATTTGTGATCTGTAGTGGGCTAAAAGGCCTACACATACTTTCCTGACAGTAAAACAGTTGGGCAGCTGTGGCCTACCATGGATGGAAATGGAGAAGAGTGAAACACCCAGAAAAATGTTTTGTTTTTTTTTTCCCCAGAGTTTATGTGATCTGTACATAAACTAATGAAATGTGGAAAACATATACTAGAATCTAAATTTAATTCCTAAAATATAAAAGTTTTTATTATCAGGAAAAGTATGACACACAAAGTTGACTTGCCCACATGGCCTGAATAATGATGTCACCATCATGGCACAGGATGGGGGCCGCTGCCTCACTCTTCCCATGTTATTCTGGCTGCTCTGCTATTACTTCAAGATTTGGAGTCCACTGCCTTTGTTCCCTTCTCAACTCTTTCTGTTATTTTCAGGGAAAATTAGTTGATGATTTTATTGTTAATATCTAGCAGATTCCCTGGAAAGAAAGTATCTTCTCCTCTACCTGAAGAGAGTTCATGGAATAAAGGGTGTGCTAAGCTAATTTTCTTGATTTCATGTAGCTATGACAGAGCTGTTTAGTATGCAAGAAAACTGCATGGCAAAAAAACAAAACCTGAGAAAATATAATTTTTGTTTTAAGATATTCCAAAAAGATACATTATAATTTATATTGTTCTTAGTTATTTCCACTTATCATCTTATATAAGATATAGTGTTATTTTCAATAACTTATCCTTGGTAAACATGTTTTATGTATTAGAAAACTTTTAATATAGTTTAGACGTTACACAGCTTTTCAAGCTTTTTGTTATTTATTAAACATTTATTCATTCATTCCTTTATAAATATTTATTGAGGACAAAAGATATGCTTGGATAGTTCTAATAAGTGATTATAAAGTATAAAAAAGGAACAAATGCAGAAATAGAAAAAAACCAGAAGAATAAATAACTCTGCCCTGTATTCTACTTTAAATAATATAATCCAGTTTCATAAAATATGCTCATCTATATATGTATACATAGATATATTTGTATGTATATGTTCAACCAACCTGAAATAGTCAACTTTACAATTAGTGAAATTAATCATTAAGCCAGTCCGCATCAACCACACTCAATGTTTTCTCAGTGCATCTGATTAAGCTCCTCTTTGAAGTCTTTATTACTATCTTCTCTGCTTCTCTGAGGACTAAAAATAACTTCACACATGCATAGTATTTTTTTTTGAGTTTCCTTTACTCACACTTAAGATTAGAGAACAAATCTGAATCCATATATACTTAGTTTACCTTAGAATTTCTATTCGACAAATGTTTAAACTTGGTCGTTACCTCGTTAGCTCTCCTGTGCTGGGGACAGTGATCAGAATTCTACATGTAGAAAGACGTTAGCCTCTCTGTGGAAGTCCCCATATGAACAGGAAGACACTGAATCGGATTTGCCAATGAAATCCATGTGGCTTCTAAGAATGCTTTTAGAATTAGAGACTTTTCCATTATAATTATCATTGCCAATATGCATATAAAATTCATACTTCAGCAATGGTATTTAAGTCTAGAGCAATGTGAATCAAAGTTGACATGATGCACAAAAAAATGACGTGTGAAAAGAGGCACTGGCCATGAACGAGTTTGAGGAATTGTATTTTAACGAGCTCATCTCCCTTTCTGACCTCAGTGTCTCTGTTGACCATATTATTTCATTCATCATAAGATCCACTGTTTGTTGAGTAAGGCTTGCCATTTTCCAATGTCCTTTTGAAAACGCTGTGCACATTATTGCATGTATTTAATGAGGTGAAATCAATTTTCCCATTTAGTGGATGAAGAAACAGGACTTAGGAAAGATGAAGCAACATGACTGAAGACATGTGTACAGCTAGCTAGTGCACTGCAGAGCTTTGACTTTGAATACCTCCTTTAGAAAATGTTGATGCCACTAGTATCAGAGTCGACTTTCTCTATGCAGTACTTAGTCTGATCAACATAAGAAATGGCTACTCTATTCCAGCCACATATGGCAAGCTAGCAAGGGTGATTCTGTGAAAAGCTCATGTCAAATGAAATAGAAAACTCAGTGTTGGCAGTGAGTTCAGGAAAGTTTAGAAAATAATCTGTAATGAAAAAACAATATGCAATTTAAAAAGTGCCCCTGTGTCAGGATGGACATGCTTTATTATATTATTGTCGGTGTAGGATTTTATGTGAATAACATTGATTTTTTTTTATTGAAAGCTTTTAAGTTTGGTCTTTTACTAGGGAAAATAACTACCTGAGTTATCTTACTTTATAATTATCACATAAATAATAAAAACAGAAAGATCTTTAATTCATCACCAGTAAGTGATCACATATCATAACCATTAAAAATATCATAAAATATTTCTAAAAAGAACAGTTATAGGAATATGTTTTGAATGAAAGTACATTTTTTCCCAGAAAGAAGAGAGCTGTAACCTTTGTGGCAAGAAAAGACCCATGAGGAAATCAAGGGCATTAATATATCACTCAAATTTCTATAAATACTTACAATGTGGTATTTCTATAACCTAAAATGCATCTATAAATCTACATAGGAAGTGCTGGTTAATATTATAATAGCAGTAAAAATGGGGTAGCTGCTTTTATAGATTTTGTGAATGACTAAAGCATGCAAATGAAAATTGCCAATAACTGTTCTAGCAAATTATATTTTGAATGTAAAAATTATATGACAAGAATAATGATTGATAAGTTTCTATTTTAAGTGAAGTTTTTGTCATTATTTTTTTCCTTTCTGGTCTACACAATTAGCTAGAGAGGAAAAAAACAAACAAACAAAGAAACAAACAAACTACTGTTTCCCTCAGTTTAGTTTTACCTGTCCCAATTGTGAGCTGAAGTTTTTGGGTTTTGAAATCCCTTACCTCAGGATAACTATTTTGAGTCTGGACTTAAGTGTTTGATCTTAATAGATGTACAAGCAATGTGCACACCCATATCTTCTTAATGGTCTGGTTTATTACTTCTATTTAATATCATATTATATCAGAGAAACCTTAAATGACAGACTCTACCAGACACACTAGTACATCAAGCGCTCAGGGCACAGCCCACAAAAGCGACAACCCGGACCTGAACTATAGGATTGACTTGTAAAGAACCATCAAATCCACCAATGGCAGCTTACCCGGCTCTGTGTTTGAGCTTTTTATCTAGGATTCCATCTCTGGAAACAAGCTTATTAAATACCAAAATGCCAATCACCATGTTGACCTGTCAAATAGAAACAAAGTTGACCTTTCAATGATACTGAAGGAGATCAGGTCCCTGTTTCTCCAGCAAACAAGTCTTAACCCCCCCCATGGAGGGCATGATTCTGTAGAGTGATGTGAATGACTTCCTAGAGTAGTAACTAGCAGGTGAACAGCGGTGCCCGCTGCTAATATTTAAAGTCCACCAAACACATTTAATTTCCATGCTTTGCAGTTTAACATGGCAAAATTAACCTTCAGTTGTCTAAATTTTAAAAGGGACTTCCCTTCCCCCCACACACATCAACCTTGTAATATTCTTTCTAAGGAAACTTTGAATAAAACAATGGGGTAAATGAGTTTTATTCTATGCTTAAAAGCCAAAGCATTTTAAATCTCCCAGTAAGGGGCTGGGCCGAGCCAGGAAGACAAAGGTACTAAGGGTTTGCCACTGCCCCCAGCAGGGAAGACAGAATGGCTAAATACTCAAAGCAGCTGTGCAGCTGCTCTCTCCCAGGGCTGGGTCTTTCTGATGTATGGCATTTTCTAGGAAGGGAAAGCCTATTCAATCTCGATTCCTTCAGGGTTTGGACACTTGCATTAATTCTTAAAGAACACTCTCTTGAGCACTTCTTACAACTTCTTTCCAAGACTTCCTTACTCTCACTTCCATGACCTTTTGCATCATACAAACGGAGTGAAGTCAGCAAGAAAATGTTCTTTCAAGTAAAATTGTAAGGCACATTGGGAGAAGGTGATGACGATGATTCCCAATCCCAGTGTGAATCAAAGAAGAGTCTGCTTTTCACCTTACTTAGCTCTTTGCCCTCTATTATCAGTGGTCTACAGACTCTCATTCAACTGTTCCTCCTCTGCTAGTAGAAGGCTGAAATCTGTCCACCTGCTGGTATGTATGTTAAGCACGTCATTCTTAGTGTCTGGGCAATATACCACTTCCTTTTTATTTGAACTGACTGAGAGAAAACATAAGTTCTACGGATTCTACTAATTCACAACCTAAACATGAGGGAATTTATGACCAGTAGAAAGTGTTGTAATGGTGTTTCAATTATGTACATACTAGTTATTTCTTCATCATAGGGTTATATGTATGTTAACCTAGCAGCCTAGGGAAATAACTCTATTGGTTTAATAAAAATCCAGTGCAACAGACAAAAGAGTTCCCAATAGTTTCGATTTTCCTATGCACTTTGTAACACTGATATCTTCAGTGTTGTGGCTTCGTTTTCTTTCTTTCTTGTGAATAATGGGCAGTTATTGTTCTCTGTTACAGTTTAAAAGAATGAACAATCTTTAAAGGAAAAAGCCTCAAATAGAATTATTAAGAAAGACGTTTCCAGCTTCCAAGTTATTGAATGAACCATTCAAAGAACAGAAGGGTAATTATCCAGCTGATAGTCTAATTGAACAGTGATATGAATTTCTGTATTTAATATATCATTTCTTTCCTCCTTAATTTTCTCCCGAATGATGAGTGAATATAAGAGAGAAATTGGGAGAGAGCGGTAGGGAGGGAGGGAGAGAGAGACAATGGAAAGATGGTAGAAAATTTTGCATGTTATAATATTTACAATTAGGGAAATATTTTGCTATTCTAAAAAGAAAATTACTAAAGTCTTTGTACCTAACATCTACTGGTGGTTTTTATCTTGGAATATTATTGACCCACAGGGAACATCAAACATGTCTGGAGGTGTGGTGGGCAGAGGGAGGGATGTTCTTGAACATACCACAATACACAGGACTGACCGGAACATTAACATATCCATTCTAACATGTATCCTTGACTTTGTGAAAGTAACATGTATGCACACATGCATGCATATATGTATACAGGTGGATAAATGATAGATAGGTAAAGACATTTGGGAGTATCAGTTTTGGATAAATTTCCCCATTCATGCGTAAATATATTACACAAGATAATATAGAGCTTCAATAATAATAAAGGATGGAATTTAATATATTGAAGAGGAGGAATTTATTGAAACTCACTTGAGTTTCTTCACATATCTGAAATCACAGTAAGGAATTCCACTCTTCCAAGTTTAATCATTTTTAGTGCTTAAGTATGAACATCTTAGAATAATATAAGATAGAGAACAATTGATATTAGAAACGAAAGCAATAAGTAGTTGGATTTTACACTTTCTACCCACCAAACACTTTATCAAAATTGCCACTCTAAGGGACTAACTGTAATCTTTCTTTTTCGCTAAGCAATCAAGTAAGTGAATTTCAGAGTTTACCAGTACAACAGCGGCTGCAGGTCCAACGAAAGCGTAGAGCAGTCCTCCTTCAAGTGACAGCCAGCAGCTAAAAATAGGATTAGATAAAACTAACAAAAATCAGTGATAAGCATCAGGCCACCAAATTGTGATGCAAAGAGCATTGGCTAGAATTTGACCTTGCAGTGTTGGCACATTTCAAAGATTTGTAACTTTAGCCTTAGAAGCTGTAGAAAAACTAGAATTAGAGCATTTCATGACGAAGAAACAGACATATCCCTCACTACTGGGTTTTATCTTGAGGCAGTTGAAATATTTTAGGCAATTTCATTGTATATTGTAATTTCTATCTTTGTTTTCATTGCAAAGAGATTATCACAACAAATTCTGCTTTGTCTCCCTGGCTGATGCTTTCAGATTCACTTTAAAAGAATAACAGTGTGTTTAGAAAGTCTTCCTTGAGCCAGGTGTTGGTGTCACATGCCTTTAATCCCAGCAATCAGGAGGCAGAGGTAGGTGAATCTCTGTGAGTTCGAGGCCAGCCTGGTCTACAGAGCAAGTACCAGGATCTCCAAAGCTACACAAGAGATACCCTGTTTCGAAAAACCAAAAAAAAAAAAAAAAGTCTTCCTTGAGTCCATTGAGATACTGAGGAAAGTAACTTAAAAGACACCAGTGCAGGAAATGGATAACTCATATTTGCATGTTCTTTTTCCCTTTAATTTTACTGGTTCCCAGACTACCAAGAACATTCACTGGTATAGGATTGTGAATTAGAATGAGTGCAGCTGTGTTTGTTCGGTAGACTAGATTCACTAAGGGATGTAAGTTTGTATGGATGGAGCTATGGAATTCTTTCGGGTAAAACATTTCATTCTCTCAATCAAAAGGAAATGAAGAGGCCAGAGGGCCCAGCCCTGGGTGTGTGTAGATGAAGAATCCAGATGCCCACAGTCCAGGAGAGTAATGAGGAAAGTGTAAGGGCCTGTATCTCACTGCTGGAGTACAGCCACGCCATTGCTTTATGCAACGCTTTATGTGATATTTGTCTCTTTCACCATATTAATTCCTGTAGCCAGTGAGCTGCCTTCAAAATTTACAATATGTAACAGTGAATGTGCTATGTCTCTCCTAACAATGATATGCTCTATAGTTATTGAGGGCATGGTTCCATAATGTATGCATTTGCTAAAACTCACAGAAAATGCTATATTTAAGAGCATTGGTGTGACTCTCTAAGTTATGCCTTAATTAAAATTTCAATCTAGCTGGGTGTTGGTGGCACATGCCTTTAATCCCAGCACTCGGGAGGCAGAGGCAGGCGGATCTCTGTGAGTTCGAGACCAGCCTGGTCTACAAGAGCTAGTTCCAGGACAGCCTCCAAAGCCACAGAGAAACCCTGTCTCAAAAAAAAAAAAAAAATCAATCTAGTAGTTATATACGCATACAGAAACATTGAAACATTAGTATAGACTTTTACAAACATATGTGCATTTGTTTAAAGATAACACATGGCTTGGCATGCCTTTGAACTTTAGAAAGTGGGAACCATAAATACTAGTAAGGTGTTTAATAAATCCTTAATTTACACCAAAATAGCTACTTTAATGGAAGAAGTAATAACTTAAAGCAATTTGCTATAGTAAATAGCAGTCCTTAAATAAACACTTAGCATTTTCTTTCAGTGATATTGATTGCATTAAAAAAAAAAATCAAGAACTCCAAAAGTAGTTTTCCCAGTTCTAAGAAGGAGTCTTTGGGATAGCCAGGTGAAGTGATGTCCTTTTGTATACTTTTAATTTGGTGAGCACAACATGTGGCCTAATTATCAGTAATTCCTAACTTAAACCTGGAAAAAAATTACAGAATGTCATGTTGTAACTTTTATTTATTAAATAGTGTGTGCACTCTCCATTTCTAAATTACATCCTCAAAATGAAAACAGGTGTAGTAAACTATGAAAGTATATTGCTTCAAATTATAAATATTTTTTTTTTGTTTTTTTTCGAGACAGGGTTTCTCTGTATAGCTTTGGAGCCTACCCTGGCACTCGCTCTGGAGACCAGGCTGGCCTCGAACTCTCCTGAGTGCTGGGATTAAAGGCATGCGCCACCAACGCCCGGCTTCAAATTATAAATATTAAAGTTAATCTTTACTACAAATTGTTTCATGTATTTTGTGAGCATCACAAACATAAGATGGACCATCATACCCCTTTCTAATTTTTTCCATAGCCTAGGCATCTTCTAATATGAAATCTGGCTCCTGACCAATCAATTGCAGTGTATCAACATAAAACAGCAACAAAACTGGAAATAATAATGGCTAATGGTAATACATAGAGAGACATCAATGATATTTGAAGATGAGGTAAGAGTCACATCCTAAAACATAACAGAAGAATAACATCGAGATTTTACCGGTTCTAGCAGAGCATATTTAAGTTTTGACATGTATAACTGATATAACTTTAAAGGAAAACATACTGGTTTTAGGAAGCACTGGAAACAGGAATGAGAATTCTGAATAGCTGCATTTCTTTACTTTTGTGCATATAAGCCACCTTATATGGCTTGGTTAATGACCCAGTGACAAGTGAATGGCATCAGGAGGCAAGGCAAATAAAACCTGTTTGGTAACTTCCTTATTTATCAACATGGTTAGCATTATAGATGGACTTACTAGTGATCTGTGCCATATCCTTTCGTCCTGGTGAAGCCTACAGACGTGGCTACTACTAAAGCTGGCAGTCCTGCAAGAAAAGCAAGGTGACACTTCATATTCAGCTACAGCCATTGTGGATACTTGCCCAGGACAAGCCTGGACAAACTCCAGATCTTCAGATCACAGCAACTACCGTTGGAAGGGTCACCTTACAAGGGATGTTTATATCCCAAACTTTCAAGTGCAAAACTACAAGAGGCAGGTAGATTTTTAACTTAGTATACTGCCCTGGTGTTGCTAGGTTACCACTGCATTTGACATGGTTTTAAAGAGAAGTAATAACACAGATTTAGTATATCTTTAAGTTATTTTTTCCCCTGGGGGTTTGCACTGTTATAAAGGAAATTGATAGTTACAAAACCAGAAAGGCAGAAAACTGGACACCCTGGTGTGGTGGCCTGTTATAAGAGTGGAATATTCAGCTGGCCCCATATTGATCCATATCAAGTTCAAACTATAATAAAACTGCCAAAATAATTTTTTCACTTAACACTTCCTTTTCAATTTACTTATAATAGTAAGGATGTAAGACTAGAGAACTCAATTACCTGAAAATCTAAACCAATTCTGACCTTAAGGCTTCATTTACGGCATGTATAAACATACTTGGGCATGCAGCATCTCCAAAGAGAACGTTTGCTTTTTCAACTAAAATGAAACCCTCAGTTAATCATCCTTTTGTTGTGCTATTTTCTTGCTATTTTCTTTCCCCTGGGAGTCTACTCTACTCAGTACATACACTCACCAGCTTTAAAGACAAGCACTGTGGAGGCATGCCAAGGGAAGTCACCACGCTTTAAATGAATACTGAGAGCTATACATTCATAATACAAAATTATGTGTATGCAACTCTTTGTCTCCTCCCTCTCCCAACCCTCATCCTGCATGCTATCTTTTGACTGGATATTTTGATTTAATGCATAGAGTTCATTAGAAACAAACAAATGTATACCCGAAATAATACCTAAGGAATCAGTGGTCTTTATTTCATATAAATTGGACCTCCTTTGTTTTCTAAATTGATTGTGGTGTGCTTCTCTCCTCTGATAGTGTATATAACTCTTCACCTCTCAGAATGTTGATATTACCAATAACTTTGAAGATGAACTGCAAACCCTTTCTTCAAGATCTTTAGTAGCAATATTAAATAAGGTAGCTATTGGTTACTGGCGAGGAAATCATTCTTGAAGAAATAGCTTCCTGTACTTGCACTCTCTTCCTTCGATCTATGGTCCTAATTCACAACAAAAATGTTCCTTGGTTCAATAGTGCCATCACTTTAGAAAATCTTTGTCATGGAATCTAGACAAAAAATCTTATAATACTCTAAGTAGAAAGTATTCTTCAGCTTTCCATTTGCTTCTACAAAGAGTCCCAATACATCAACTAAATATGGCTACACCCCTGCTGAATGCTGGCAGATAATCTTTAGATGGATTTGATCCTGTGTTTCAGGATGAATTATTCTGGTCTTGCAGTAAGTTCACTAGTCCATAATTGCCAAGTTCCTTTTAACATCCTGTTCTCATCATCTGATAGAGTAGCAGTAGTATGTGTGCATGTGTGTGCAAATGTGCATGCATGTATACATGTGTACATGTGCATCTATGTGTGTACTTATGTACAGATTTTTTAGTATGGGTATTTTAAAACATGAAAAATCCTATGGTTTTTCTGAAACTATCTTTAAAATAATTAACTATGCTTTCATTGAAACTGGTCCCATGAAATCACCAATTGTTGAGGTGTCTCAGCCATGCAGCAATTGGAAATGATCCCTAAGCATGATGGGCAATGAATTAATTTCCTAGTTTGGCAGCAATTGTACATTTCTACTTTTGAGGAACTCCTTAACTACATGTGAAGCTTCCTTGCCTCGCTGATGGTCTCCTCCTCCTCTCCTGGGCTTCATTTTTTAACAGTCTGGAGAATCTTTTGGAATAGAACACTTAGAGGTTTCCTAGGGTTTGCTATACGTCCTGTGAACACCATGATTTGGGTGCCCAAACAATTCAAAGCATTTCACATTTTCAGAAAAATGCATCAAGGAACACATTGTCTTCCTAACTTCAGCTCTGGTCTCAGGCTACACCACGTAGGTACATTACGTGTTAATTTATTAGCTAAAACCTTTGGTGATCATTCACTTATAAAGTTCCAAATGACCCCATGAATGTTTACAAAAATGGCTTCTCTCATGTATTTCCACTTCATGTTTCAAGTTAGACACCTACGTAACCTGGGTACAGTCACTTTTTACTATTTTATGATGTTATTCTCAGTGTCATATCAGCAAAGCATGAAAAATATGTTAATATATTTACCCCATCCAAGGCACAGAAAGCGTTTCCTTATGAGCCGTGTCCTGATTTTTCCAGTTACAGCCATGTATGACTGCCACGCTTCTGTCAAAACCCAACAGAATGAGGCCAGGAAGAAAAAATGCAAGAATGCAGTGGTGGTCGTACAGATGCTCTGTGGAGACAGAAGGAAGCACATGCTCAACCTGGGCAGGGACCTATCCGTCCTTTGTTCTCAGATAAGAGGAGATCCTACTATGTAATCCACACAGCCTTTAGCTTGCAATTCTCCTGCCTCAACCTCCTGAGTTTATGATTACAGGGATCTGTTACTACTTTCCACTTGGAGAGGTTAACTTCTGACAGACTTTTACTTCCCATAAAAGTTCTTAGTGTCAGAGAAACTTTGGGATTAGAAACCTTATCATCCCTAGTCTCTATGCTTTATACAATATATGCAACACAAAAAATACATGCCCTAATTCCAATTTTCGTTTTTTAGTTTCTTTAATGAGGAGAACCCACACTATGCATTTAAACTCAAGGAAAATTAAAATCACTGCTTTAGTTGATTTTTAAAAAAAAATAAAATTATGGAAATTGTCCTTTTTTTAGTTTAAGTTGCAGACACAATGTATAATTGTTTTGGCTACATTCTTTATCTCCCTTAACCAAGGATTCTTTTTTGTTTGTGTTTTATCTGTGTTGATGTGAAGATTATACTGGCAAGCTCAACAGCTTTTTCAAAAGAAAGAAAAACCAACTTTGCTTTTATATGTGTGTGATACCCAAGTTATAACAGTAAAATACTATACTCTAGAGCAAAGGTAAGGTGCATTTTGAAGTATTTAATAGCTGCACGTGATGCTACTACATTGTCCTGCCTGTCTTAATCGAGTCATTTTGAAAAGCTAATTGAGTCACTGGCAGTACACAACTATGATTTCATAGATAATTTTCTCCATGCAATTTAATCATCCTAAATGTGTGGGCCATTAGCTGTGCTTTGTCTGCAAATGACCAGCAGCTTCATTTTAGTAAAGGCTGCTACTTATTTCCCTATTGGTATGACTTCTTTGTGTACATCTTGTAATACAACTCCTCATAAACCACAACCAGCAGCAAAATCAATTTCTTCCTTCATCAGTCAGCCTTTCCAGAAATTGAAAATAGACAAACAAAGATGTTGAGATGCTAATTAGACATCAGCAGGCTTGAAGGCGTTAGAGCTGGACCCCTCCTTCATAATCATTGGTGAATAAAACCAGAGTCAGGAAATGCAGGGCTCCAGTAATGATGGGAGGATGACAATTGAAATATGGGATGACCCATATTTCCGTCTCAGGGAGGAGATCTGATGTCTTGAAAGGTCTAATTGATAACTGGTTCCATGGAGTCCTGATCATATCAAGGGCAAACTATAGTGCCCTTGTTTAAGAGTCAACACAAGTGGGCCTGTAATCACTGGGCAGGAAAACACCTCTTGGGCAAGCCGTTTATTCCAGAGATTTTTATGAATTGTACAAAATACACATTGGTGGTTGTTCACGTTATATTTGCCAAGTTGCAATAGCATAACTTCTAAATGACAACTTTGATAAAGAGCAATTTTCAAGTGACTGCAATTACTGTTATAAGCGTTATCAGTTTCCACTGGCATCATTATTCTGACGTGCAAGGATTTGGATTCTTTCCTCTCTTCTCACTTTACATGGGCAACCCCTACAGATCAAATATTCCCTAGGTCCCTCAGTACTAGGACATTTCCCACTGACAGTCCTCAGACTTGATTATCTCTTTCAGGTTCAAATGTTGACACTCTTTCAATCATTGTGATCACCTGATGCACCACAATGGGTTGGGGCCACAAAGCCCTTTCTTGGCATTCTCTCTCATTGTGCTCTTAACTCTTAAGTCAGGTCTTCATACATCACAATTACACATTTAAGACTCACTAGCCCCTCAAGTTCATCATCAATTTTTTTACTTGCCTGGCCAAACTCGGCCCTGATCTTGAACTGTCACAGCTGACGAGTGCTATGACATTACAAAAGCCAAAAGCATAATTTAATTTAGTAAACTGAACTCTTTATACAGCTCATTTTCTTGATGTGTAGCCTTTACCCCAATTCTTAGGAAGAATGGAAAATAATTTCTAAAGGCAACTGATGTAAACACATTACTTCTAATGAATCAATCAGAAGCTATAAGCAATCCTAGAATAAAACAAAAAACAAAAGTAGATGAAAGCAGATTGAAGGTAGGCATCTTAGCCCAGTGCTCGGTATTTGGAAAAGGGCAACACAGAAAGAAGAAAAAGAGTGACAATACGTAAATGCCATGGGAGCTCTAAAATCGGTTCAACAGTACTTCTTGAAGGAAGCAATAAAGAAATTGAAAGAAAGACAACATTTAAGGAAACATGGAGGAATTCTTCAGAACTGAATGCAATCTTGGCTACAGGACAGATTAAACAGGAAACACACACACACACACAAACACACACACACACACACACACACAGAGAGAGAGAGAGAGAGAGAGAGAGAGAGAGAGAGAGAGAGAGAGAGAGAGAACACATATCACACATTCCTGCTGCATTGCCATGAAATTTGCTAATATCTAGAATAAGAATAAAATTTAAAAGTGGTCAAAATTTAAAGAATAATTACTTACAAAGGAACAAGAATCAGAGTGATACTAAATTTCTTGTAAGCCACCCAGGATCCAAGAAGGCAGTGAAAAAGTGTCCTTGTTCTAACGAAAGAGAACTTTGAAGATAGAAATTTTCACCTAGCCAAACCATGATCCAAGTGACAGGCAGAAATGTATTTTTAGAATTGAAAGGGACTTTGAAGTTTATTATTTTAAGGTTCTCTCTGAAAGAATTGCTAGGCAATATAAACCACCAATAAGAACTTTGAGAAGAGAGAATGGGATAAGTGATAGATAGCAAACAAAAGCAATAAAATATACTGAGTCTAAATAAAATTTTATTTAATATATTTCATATAATCTTAAAAATACAACTACCTATATATAGAATTCAAACTAATACCAGCAAGGGCCAAAAGGGAAGAGACATGAGGGCTACAAGGGAACAGAGGAAAATAAAAACTTGCCAAGACTCTGTTTCCCCCATTAGCATATTAGAGAGACTGAGTGACATACGACAGATAATATTTGAATATTTATGATAACCCTGATAAATTAGGGTAATTATTATAAAGTAAGAATAATATTTGTAAGTTAGCAAAGGAAAAACAAAACTAAGAGACATCAATAAGTTCAATTAAAGATAAGGAAAATGGGAACAGACAGAATTACGCTAAATAGGAAAAATGATTCCAAAAATATCATAAATCACAATAGCTTTAAACTCACTATAAAAAAGTAAAACAAACAAACAAACAAAAAAGCCAAACAACCTTTCATACTCGATTTTAAAAATCTATTTTTGTAATGGTTCTGCAAGAAAGTGTCAAACCCACTGACACAAGAAGATAGGAATAAGGAGATAGAAAGAGCTATAGGAAGCAAATGCTAATATCCAGAACTGAGATGTGACAGTGGTCATATCAGGAAGAAATTATTAAGTGAGATGAGTAGGGACTTTTCATGCTGGTCTAAGGAGCAAGCCATGACAAATGCTTACAAGTGACACAGCCCCAGAAACACTAATGACTGTTCACAAGCTATGAAACAAAAAATGAGGCAGCCAGGAGGAGAGCAGATTGTAAGGACTTGGGGTCCAGTTGTCAGTGCAGACCAGTGCAGGATCATAAGGGGGCCCTTATGATCTCCGGGCCCTCACAATCACCACCTTCCTCATGGCCCGATGCTGCTCTTTCTTGTCTTTGTGGTGTGGTCTCAAATCCTATGTAAGGAAGGATAGAGCATCCCTGTAACTATCTCCACATTCCCCATTCCTCCAGTCTGAAGCTTCTCTCTAACCCAAAGCAAATTCTTCCCCTTCTATTACACAGTGCAATAGGGTAAGCAGGAGTTTTGCCTCTGAAGGCACACACTACCTGTTTCCTTTATGGAAATTTCTGGGCTTCCTTTTCCCCAGCTGAAAACTGAGGATAAGAAAATCTACCTCATAAAATGGCTGTAACAGTTAAATGACATCATACAAACTGGGTGTGACAGTGGACACCTTTAATCCCATTACTCAGGAAACAGAGGCAGGTGGGTCTCTAGGACAGGCAGGGTTACACAGAGAAACCCTGTCTCTATCAAGTATTCTTTTTTGGGGGGAGGGTGAATTTTAAATTACTGTGTCATGAAATGTAGTAAAGTTTAACACATAAGTATATATGCTTATTGAGCATAGATAAAGCCTGACATAATAAAAATGAATTCATCCATATAACTACAAACATGTCAAAATGTAGAACATTGCCTGCTTGTCAGTCATTATTGTTCTTCCAAGAATAACCACTATTCTGAATTTTTAATAGTAATTATACTATTACACTCTCCCTTTACATGCTCCGTCAGCTAGCATGCCTGTTTAACATCTTTGCCTACAAATAAATGTGTTGAAAGACCTCTTTTAAGTCAACCAAAGTTCCTTCTTGTTACTTTTGATTCCTCTTTGTTTCCAATTATGGTCAACTACACATCAGTTTCCTTATGACTGGTTCCTATCCTTGATGTCTGGAATCTTCTTCAATACTGCTTCCACAGAAATTCTGATTTCCAACACTAATAAATGGAATTTTTAAAACCATGGGCTTCTACATTCTTATTTAAAACTATGATTTTAAAAAAATATGGTCTTTAAATGTGTCTGTGTCCTGAAAGTTCTAGAATACTGTAAGTCACCTAATTAAAGGTCTCACAAGTAGTTTATTTGTTATTGAGTTAGTTTTAGAAGTTTGTGTTTGCCATGTCCTGTGCATTTCAATATTTTAGTAATAACTTAAACCATTTCATTTCTAATGTTGCTTACTCATGCTTTCTTTCTTATTTATTTTTTAAACAGGATTTCACTTAACTAGTTCTCTTATTCTGAGTACTGGGAGCACAAGTCAGGCTTGCTTTTTTATTTCTTATTTAGTTTTGTTAAGAATCTATTTTGCCAATGTTTTTTGAACCTTAACTATTATTTAGTTTTACTTTGAAAAAATATTATACAGTCCCAGAGATGAATTTCTTAGTGTGAAATAT